GCAGTTTGAGGTCGGACTCAAACTACAGCACGTTCACACGCCTCGGTCCAAGCTGTGTGTTCATGGTGATGACGATACACACACACGGCGGCGGCAGCTTTCTCGTCTGTCGTTGGTTATCCATCAGTCGGCACAACGGGCTGAGAAACACAGAAGGAAAGGAAACGCTCTGAATATCAGGAGCTGCTGCTTTTCTTCCTCATCTGCTTCTGAATAGAGCGTGTGTGTGTGTGTGTGTGTGTGTGTGTGTGTGTGTGTGTGTGTGTGTGTGTGTGTGTGTGTGTGTGTGTGTGTGTGTGTGTGTGTGTGTGTGTGTGTGTGTGTGTGTGTGTGTGTGTGTGTGTGTGTGTGTGTGTGTGTGTGTGTGTGTGTGTGTGTGTGTGTGTGTGTGTGTGTGTGTGTGTGTGTGTGTGTGATCAAACAGGAAGCAGCCCTCTGATGTGTGTTAAACGATCACGTTTCATAACAATAACCTCTGATTTTCTCTCCTGCCTGACAGCTGAACGTGGCTCTTCCTGTTTGAACATGTTCATGTGGACTCCTGTAACAAGCGTTGTTTCCTCCTCTCGTTCTCCTGCAGGTGAAATAGATCGATGTCTGAAAAAAGTAGCGGAGGGTGTGGAACAGTTTGAAGACATTTGGCAAAAGGTAAAGAAGGGTTGTTGTTTTTACTTTTAACTTCAAAGATTATTGATGTATTTATTGTTAAGAGACCAAAACACTACAGAATGTTTTTAACACATTTAAAGGTGACATATCCTCCTCTTCTTCTTCTTCAGTGTAAATAAGTCTCAGAGCTCCTCAAAACATGTGTGTGAAGTTTCTTGTTCTAAATCCACTTTGATCATGTCTATAAACCCCTCTATTTCAGCCCTGCTCAGAACAAGCTGTTTCTGTGTCTGTACCTTTAAATATGTAAATGAGTTGTGTCTGACCACGCCCCCTCTCTGGAAGGGCTTGGGTGTACTTGGTGCTTTCTCGCTCCATGTCCTATTGTTTACGGTGAGAAGGCAGACTCAGAGGGCAGAACAAACACCTAGCTGTGGGAGTGTCACCCACCTGGGGGAGGGGCTACTGCCCTTTGTGATGTCATGAAGAGAAAATCTCTGAACGGCCTGTTTGAACACACATTTTCTGAAAAGTGGAGCAGGCAGAAGACGGAGAGGATGGACTTTTCTCATCATTGGGGGGTTTGTAGACTAGAGACACATATTAGAGTTAGAGGAACATGGAGAAGAGGATTTAGCATCACGTGATTAAATTTATTTCAGACATATCAAAAATACAAAACAAAATGAAAAGCACGAAAATACAATAAACAAAAAACAATGTTCAAATTATTTCACGAAAAAGAAAATTACATATATTCAATTGATATGCCTGAAAAGGAATAGGAAGAAGTATAAAACTTATTTAATCCTACCCCTTTTCCACAGCTCAATAATTAATATTTATTAAATTAAATTCCTGTGTTCCTTATAAGCTATCTATATACAATTTGCTATACTATTATTACTATTATTTATATATATTTTTTTTCCTTCTTAAAGCTCTCCTTCGTCCCTGTACCTTTTGAAAATCATTGCTTTGTACATTTTTTTAAACTGGATCATGTTTGGACAATGCTTTAGCTCCGTGCTCATACCATTCCACAGTTTCACACCACTACGTGAGACCTTTAAGAAACTGAACAAAAGTCTCTTTGTCAGTTTCTGACCGACTCTTACTGTCTCTGCAGCTTCACAACGCAGCCAACGCAAACCAGAAGGAGAAATATGAAGCGGACCTCAAGAAAGAGATCAAAAAGTTACAGGTGAGATCTCGCCACCAGTCCATCAACGTCTGACGACCACCGATGGGGGGAGGGGGGGGGTTAAGGCGTCTTCTCTCTGTGTGTGTGTGTGTGTGTGTGTGTGTGTGTGTGACCATGACAACCAAACTCCAAGCCAAGCCTGTTTGCTTCGTATGGACGCTGAGTTCAACATCCATGACTCCAAACGTGATCACTGATGAAGCTGTTTTTCTCTCTCTCTTCTTCTTCTCTGGTCACTCAGCGTCTTCGAGACCAGATCAAGACGTGGGTGGCTTCCAACGAGATCAAAGACAAACGGCAGCTAGTAGAGAACCGCAAACTCATAGAAACGGTGAGTAGGAGCTGAGCAGAGGTGACTCTCCCTGCAGGATGCATTTTTTGTGTCTGTGTTCCAAAGTCTAAAACTAAAGGATTTTACAAACTTCAGGTCTCATAGAGGAATACGTTTTATTATCTGTTGGAGATCTCAGGCTGCAGCAGCACAAACATCACCCGCACCTAAAGTTATCAGATCATATTTTACCCGACTCTCTGGTGTCCATTTGTGGAGAAAAAACACACAAAGGTTGCAGGTTTTTTAAAGTTTTTTTTTTTTTTTTTTTAACCTTAAACAGCAAAAAGAAATGTTACAGCATAAAAAAGTATGATCATTTTCAGCTTTATTTTTTGTCTTTTTACGCCTTTATTGTAGAGACAGGACAGAGAAAAAGTCTGGAATCAGGGCGAGAGAGAGAGAGAGAGAGAGAGAGATAGTGGTGGAATGACTTGCGGGAAATTTCCACGATATGAAACCAAGAATTTCCCCAGACGGCTTCAAGCCTCTACGTAAGCGGCTGAAACGTCTTGCATAGACTCTCTTCTCCCAGAAGTGGAGAGCAGCCTTCTCCTGACAGCCCTGCAGCGTTCTGCCTCCAGGGGGCCGGCCAATCAGGAGAAAGTGGGCACGTTGGGAGGGGGGGGGGGGGGGGGGGCCTTAAAGAGACAGCAGCTGAAACGAATGCGGGACCCAATGGTCAGTTGTAACTAAAAAAATTAGACTTTTGAAATCTTTCTCATGTATTCTCTAAACTTCACTGAAGTGAAATCTGAACATGCAGTGATGCGTTTGAGGCATAAATTAAGATATTAAATTAAGAGCAGGCGAGATAACCATTCATAGAATCTCAAACTTAAGCGACAAAATGTAGTTGAGTTTCAGAAACGGCAGAATAAAGTCTCCGATCCCTGCTGGGAAGGAGAACGCAGTAATCTGGCCTTCTTCCAGGGAGCAGTGCATCATGGGAGCTGCTCGTTAGCGTAGCTTTCCCGGCCGTCAGCCTTTGATGAGGGCTATTGAGATGGGCTGAATGCGAGCCACCTGCCCGTACAATGAACCACGAGAGCGACTCGCCAGCTCCCTCTGATCCTGATGAGCCGCTGCTCTTCAGGACTTCCTCTTGGTGTTCATGGCCGACTTGAAATTACACGTTCAGTCTCAGACACCCTGCAGGAAACATCTGTGGTTTGTGAGCAGCACCTCGTCTCTGCCAAAAAAAAATAGAAAAAAAGGAACTTCACAGATTTGGTTTCAGAGCCTCGTCCTTGGCGTCTTTGAGGCATTTGGCGTTCCTGAAAGCACGTTTGGTGTTAAAGTCGCTTGTTTATTTTAATACATTGGAGAAGAAACAGCTCGACCCTTTTAGTAACAGAACCAATCAGATGCTTCCCTGGCTCCACTTCTAATCTTAAAAAATGTCGAGTTGTGTTTTGTAAATATAAAGGCGATATTTAGTTGTCTTTGTAAATGTTTTATTTATTTTCATGAGATTATCAATTTATCTTCAGCGCCACAAAACCGTTTTTCTGTTGATTCTTTGATATGATACATTTACGACACAAAGGTCACATTACGTGCAGCATCCAGTATGTCGGAATAAAATATGAATAATGAGACATCAGTTATTTTCTGACCTTCATTTTTAAAAAGTGTGTGTTTGTGTATTTCTCTTTTATTAAATCCAGAGTTTGTTGTGTTTGTTTTTTGTTTCAGCAAATGGAGCGCTTCAAAGTCGTGGAGAGGGAGACGAAGACGAAGGCGTATTCTAAAGAGGGCCTCGGTCTGGCCCAGAAGGTCGACCCGGCTCAGAAAGAGAAGGAGGAGGTCGGAACGTGGCTAACGGTGAGGGTCACTTTAACGCAAACTGAACGTGACGAATGTACCAAGAGGTCACGTTACGATAAATAGGTCACGTTACGATAAATAGATCACGTTACGATAAATAGATCACGTTACGATAAATAGATCACGATATGAAACATGGGTCACGTTACGATAAATAGGTCACGTTATGATAAATAGATCACGTTACGATAAATAGGTCACGTTACGATAAATAGGTCACGTTACGATAAATAGGTCCCGTCACGATAGATAGGTCACGTTACGATAAATATTTCACGTTACGATAAATATTTCACGTTACGATAAATAGATTACGTATCAATAAACTGGTCACGTTACGGTAGGTTACGATAGATATTTCACGTTACGATAAATAGGTCACGTTACGATAGGTTACGATAGATAGGTCACGTTACGATAAATAGATTATGTATCAATAAACTGGTCACGTTACGATAGGTTACGATAGATAGGTCACGTTGCGATAAATATTTCACGTTACGATAAATAGGTCACGTTACGATAGGTTACGATAAACATTTCACGTAACGATAAATAGATTACGTATCAATAAACTGGTCACGTTACGATATGAATTACGATAAATAGATCACGATATGAAACATGGGTCACGTTACGATAAATAGATCACGATATGAAACATGGGTCACGTTACAAACATGCTGCAGCTTTAGGTTTTGAACAGCGACATCAGACGCAGAGGTCGATTTGATGAAGTGAAAATTACATTGGACATTTTGAATCCATTTAATGTATCGATGTGAGGCGCGGAATAATTGATAACCACAACGCTTTGCTGCATTGTATGTTTTTGTGGCGCAGCCCTCTTCCCCTTCCTACACGCGGTTTCTTAAAGTCCCGCTTTGTTCTACGTTAAATCAGCTGTTTCAGGTGTGACGTATCGTCGTGTTCACCTGTCCGGTGTCGTGTTTGATTTGGTGTTCACGTCAATTCAAACCTTTTTTCCAAACCGTCGTCATTCTTAGTTGATGATCTCTCTTCTTTCTCCCTGCAGAATACGATAGACACGTTGAACATGCAGGTGGATCAGTATGAGAGCGAGGTGGAGTCTCTCTCGGTCGTGACGAGGAAAAAGAAAGGAGACAAGGAGGTCAGTGTGTTCTTATTCAATCTGTCCTTTTCTCTGATTTTATATCTGACACTCTCCTCTCTGCTGCAGAGGTCGCATAGTGCGTCCTCTGTTCATCTTCTGCGTCTGCCACGATGACCTTGCTGACTTTTACGTTCTCTCCAGAGGACTCATTTAGAGAAAAACCTCTCGAGTTCATCCTCGACGATGAGTGCACGTTCGTTTCAGAGAACATGAGAACGAGCAGATTCTGCATTTGGTCTTCAAACTCAAACCGGTGTTCTGGCGTCACATTGTCTCCCTCAGCATTTGATTAAGTTGTTAAAATAACAAAGAATCTTTCATTAATGAGTCCAGGAGAGTTTTGTCCTTGTGACGCCATCGTGCAACGCTGTCACTTTTGTTTCCATGAGATTAGTGCGATGGCGGACGTAACCAAACTAGCGCTGGTGCTAACAATGCTAACTGGACTTTTTACACACACACACACACACACACACACACACACACACAGTTACTCTCCCACTGTGTTGTCAAGCAGAGACGCTTGATTGGACGACGGAGGTCACTGCTGCTTCATACAACAGTCCCACCACACAAACCCAGCCGCCAACGTCTGGACGAGTCTTTGGGGTGGGGGAAAAACTTTGAAAATGAAATGGTCATTGCTGTTGACTTGGCGTGCCCATGACAGCCGTAACAGCGTGTTTTTTTTAATTCATGTGGACGAAGATGTTTCTGAGACGGGATCTTTTTTTTTTTTTTTTTTTTTTTAACCTGAGTTTAAAAAAATACCTGTGTTGTCAAGTTCTTAAATCATGAGGAATAATCCTCTAGAGATCAAATTGTAATGCCAGCAAGTTTTTAGTTGTTGTGGTTGACAATCCGAGGAGTTTCAAAGCTCCTGATGGACCCTGAAAGCACCATCTCAGCCTGCACCTTCTCTCCTTTAATTATAAACACGCCGTCACATTAAGAGTTCAGATTTCTCCATCGGAGCGTGATTGACCTCCTCATGTCCCCAACATGTGCTGCTGCTGCATTAAAAACACATTATCACACTCTGCTCTGCTGCCTCGGCCAGCGCGCGGCCGAAACAACATGCGTCCAAAGCGCTCCTCGCTGCTTCTCATAATCACATCAGCTCAGCGAGGCGCACAGGTACATGTGTGCTCTGTTTCTTTTTCTGAACGTTTATCACACACACACACACACACACACACACACACACACACACACACACACACACACACACACACACACACACACACACACACACTCTGGGGTCCAAACACTCTGACACACCTTTAAACATAGACGGGCAGACGCCGTGTGAGCGCTTTACAACATGTGTGAATGAACCGTGTGAGGAGAATTAAATATTGAAATCCCAAGTGTTGCTGTGAGCGCGTCTGATGAAGCATGAAACCACAAAGTGCGCATGAAGCTGCTGCTCAACATTTCCTTTCTGCTTCTCTCTAAACAGGCTCTCCATTAAAATGTGTTTCTTTGTCGTTTCAATCGATTCATTATTGAAATTCTTAGTGTTTTGCACTAGATGCATGCGGCGTATTTCCCCAAGATGGTGCATTTTACGCATTTTGATGCAATAAAGGAAAAAAACTAGGGCGGTCAAACGATGTTTATGGGGTTGCTTGCAGACTCGCAGAGAGTGTGGAGGGGGGGCGACATGCAGCAGAGGGCTGAGGTCGGATTCGATCCCACAGCTGCTGTGATCAGGACTATAGCCTCTGTACATGGGACGAGGGTCCTTACCGCTATACTATTGGCGCCCCACGATTCCATGAAAGTATTGAAAACTAAAATGGGACTTATTTTTCCATCAGATTCTGCTGAACAAACGTCTGAAATTCAGAATGTGTCTTAAGGTCATAAGAACTATTTTAAACGGGTTTGGCCCTCCTCTTTCTGTTTTGCCCATGTTGTGCAGAAACAGGACCGGATTGAAGAGCTCAAGAAATTTATCGAAAAGCATCGACACCACATCCGGATGCTGGAGACGATCCTGAGGATGCTCGACAACGACTCTGTGCAGGTCGACTCTGTCAGGAAGATCAAGGTGGGTTCACATTCAAGGTCACCGTACTGGATTCTTTCTGGACATTACCATACAGCTGTTACAGATGACCTCCTTTTGACTTGTTGCACCTTTAAGTCTTTTGGTTTACAACATTCGGTCAAAGTGGAAGTGTAATGTGGTCAGAGGTCGAAGCGTTCTGAGCATGCTCCACAGGGCCTTCAGATATCGTAAACTAGAGGGATTGGGTGCAACCAAGAGGCAACCTCCAGTGTTGAAAAATGAACTAGAGGTGCAGGCGAGCACACCCGCTTAAAGGCTTTAAATGCGATTTTTGGATTTTTTTATGGATTTTTTTGATCCAGCAGATGTCGCCCTTGAGCACCAGCATGACATATTAAGCCTTTAATGTTGCTGTTATCACCTGAAACTTGTAGAGGGGAGAATTCAGGATTACCTGAAGGAACAGCCGGGCGACTTGACTCAGGCTTCGTCCTTTAACATTTACAGTCTGTCTTTAAAAAGGCATATAAAACAGTTCCTTCTGAAATACACTAACTCTCTTTCTTTGGATGTTTTCCTCCGAAAGGACGACGTGGAGTATTACCTCGACTCATCGCAGGATCCAGACTTCGAGGAGAACGAGTTTCTTTACGACGACCTCGACCTGGAAGACATCCGTAAGTAGAGAGCGAGAGGCTTCAGACGTTCATCCTTTAAAATGATAAATGTCTTTAAACTCTCCTCCCTCTGTGTCCACGCTCCCTCCAGCTCAGGCGCTGCTCGCCACCTCCCCGCCGGGAAACTCGATCTTGGAGGACGAGATCTTCCAGCACTCCAGCAGCACGCCGACCTCCACCACCTCGTCCTCGCCCATCCCCCCTTCACCTGCTACTTGCACTACGGTAAAAACAACAACAACAAAAACCTGTTCTGCAGAGTTTCAACCTTCTTAGACTTTATATTGTGGGTATTTCCGGGAGAGAAAGGTCACACCTGAACGATCATCTGCCTCGGTTTGTTTACAGCACGCAGCGTTCTTTCTCCCAGGATGCTGCTGTGCTGACGTTGGCTTAACTTCACTGATCTTGCGTCCATATTTATACATTCTGTGCTTTTTGTATTTGTGGTTGAACGTCATCAGAGTGGTTTCCTCTACGCGTTCACCTGTCCTCAGCACACCTGGGGAGCTCTGTGGTCAGAGCGTCCCGATGTGTCAGATCAGGCGCAGAGATTCAAACTTGAATCTTTACTAGCAGAACAAATCTTCACATTTTGAGGCGGTTTGATGCGTGAACGTCTTCGAGCGAAGGTCGGGATCTCGCAGGAGAACGTAGGATGATTGTCTTAGTATCTGCTGATGTCGAGCTCCGCTATCGTCTCTCATTGTTCGGCTCGTTAGAGAGCTTCATCTTCCTCCCACTCGCAGAACGTAGTGAACGACTTATTATCGCTTCAGCTGGCATTGTTTGAAGCTGATCACACGGAGGTTAACTTCAGCATGAAAGAGGAACGTGAAGGAGATAAAGACAGACAACTTTTAATTATCAAAGAAAAGTTCATGGAAAATGATTACAGCGTAGAAGAACGGAGCGCTTTAGTGCAGCGCTCCTCTCATTTATTTAAGTTTAAGCTCCAGATCTGAATGAGTAAATCCACAATATCTGACTTCTTCTTCTGGGTTACTGTAACAATCCAACAATGTGATAAGTCCGCCGCGTCTCAGCTCTGTCAGTCTCTCTGCAGCAGGGACACATGGCGAGCGGGGACAGGAAGTCAGACACCTAAACAACATTAAAACATCCGGTGTATTTTCAAAATAAAACACTCAGTTCTGACGGTTCAGAACAACGACCTTTACGGGTTTTATTACCACGTGCATCGTGTTATCTCGCGCTGATTCTCCAGCTGTCCGGCGCCCTGAAAGCGTAGCCAGTGAGTGTTGACCAACGAGGGAGCACAGATCCAACCTAGGGCTGGGCAATATATCGAGTTTTTAACATATATAGATATATATTTAAGACAATATCGTAGATATGGATATAGTTTATGTTGCATTAAAATAACGTTACAGAGGTGCCAGGTCACCTTTACCTCATCTCACTGATGATGACTGACTGTCTGTCCCTCTTCACCCTGCTCCTCCTCTCTCTCTCTTTTATTGTATTTAAGGAACATGTTTATTTTATAATATTACTTTTTAATTGTTTTCACTGTTAATAAAAGACATATCGATATATATCGAGTATCGCCATTCAGCTAATCAGTATCAAGATATGAGTTTTGGTCCATATCGTCCAGTCCTGATCCAACCGGGTGTCTGCTGGAAGTTCTTTGTTAATTTTGATGGTTAACTTTGTCTCCTTGTTGTTTTTCAGGAGAACTCAGAAGACGACAAGAAGAGGGGGCGATCGACGGACAGCGAAGTGAGTCAGGTGAGATTAGAGACAACACTCTTTTCTTTCTGCTCAGCCGTGGTCACGTCTCTGATCACTCGTACTGATTCCACACCGGCGTTCTGACCGACAGGTAAACGTGTCCCTGCTTCTCTTTCAGTCACCGGTGAAGAACGGAAACCCCTCGTCCTCGTTATCCTCGTCCTCGTCCTCCTCTTCCTCCTCCTCCTCATCTTCCTCCTGCTCTTCCTCCTCCGTCTCCGGACTGGCCTCGTCCTCACTGGTCTCTATGGCGACCATCGCCGTGGGAGGAAGTGGGCGGCGCCTCAGGGGGCAGCAGCCATCAGGTGAACTCTTTCGGTCTGCTCTCCAACGCCGCCACCAGCAGCTACAGCAACGCCACCCAGCAGCCCCCCCACCCGTTAGTCCAGCAGCAGCAGGTCAAAAACTCCGTCATCTCCTCCTCCATCTCTACTCCTCT